AATTTATTCAATTGGTGATATATATGAGAATTTGATGATAACAAAGAATAAATACAATTAACATATTATATAATGGATAAAAATGGGTGATCAAATATATGGAGGACGGTATGTGCTACAAAAAAAAATGATGGGAGATGGATGAAGAGAAGGAATTGAGCAGGAGAAGTACGGGAAAAGATCTGCAAAACGCCTGAGAGATAGATGGGGATGGGGGAATATATAGAACTTTTAGTAACTTTTAGCAACATAAACTATGTTGCTGAAAGTTTATTACTTTTTGAATTTTAAATTCACCAACTTTCAGCAACAAGTATTTTGTTGCTGAAAGTTTACCACCTTTTGAATTTTAAATTCACCAACCTAAAATATCACTCTCCCGCCATAGTCTACAACACTCTACTCAATTATTAAAATTATTAATTTTAATGGTTAAATATGTTTTTTGTCCATCTACTATAGGTAAAACTCATTTTTTAGTCCATGGATTGCAAAAATACCCTTGTTGGCCCTTAAAATTTAAAATTAAACTCCTTTCTACCCCCATCTTCTTCCCCTCTCTATCTTACCCTCTCCTACCTCCGGCTTCTTCTCTTTTTTTTTTTTTGTTTTTTACCTCTGCAGAACCCAAAAGCTAGGTTGCGGAACCCAGCAGCTAGGTCGCGGAACCCAGCAGCTAGGTCGCGGAACCCAGCAGCTAGGTCGCGGAACCCAGCAGCTGGGTTCTGCAGAACCCAGAAGCTGGGTTCCTTGTAGAACCTAGCAACCATCCATGGCCTTTTTTTTTTTTTTCACCTCTGCAGATCTGCAACAACTAGGTTCTGCAGATCTGCAACAGCTAGGTTCCTTGCAGAACCTAGAAACTGGGTTCCTTGTAGAACCCAGCAATCATCCATGCAATATACACGTTCTGGCGGTTCCGCCATTGTAGACAATGATTGGGTTTTGATTTCACCAATTTACAAAGACTAAAGAGACAAAATTTGCAACAAATCCACAGCTAAAATGGGGAAAAAATAATCAAGCTTCATAATCATCATAATCAAAATAATAAAAATGTGCTTCTTGCTTCTTCAGCATCTTTATGGAAACAATCAAAGAATCAAGTTTTATCATCATCCTTCGGGAGGCAAGGAGAGAGAGGTTTGAGTTTAGAAAGAAATGTAACCAAGAAAAATTGCAAGAAATAAAAGCAAAAACTCAGAAGAAAAAAATTAAAACAAAATCAACCAATCACCGAATCAAAATCCATGGAAAAGAAAAGAACCCAGCTTGTGGGTTCGCCTTTTTATATCTGCAAAGTAAAGATAAAATTTTATTTAACCTATTTTAATAAATTTTTAATCTTTAAGTAATTTATTTTTATACCTAACATTTAATTTAGTAGTTGATTTTGTTTAATTTGTTAAATTTTATTTAACACATTAATTAATATAATTACATTATTTATTAATATATTTAACTAATTTAAAACTTGATTTTATCTAAAAAAATATGTGAATATACATATGACATTTCATATAAAGTTATCACAATTTTTTGTCAATACTTGACTTTTTAAATTAAGAGTAAACTCTTTTCAAATAAGAGTATACTCTTTTTCAACAAGAGTTGACTCTCATTAAAGAGAGTCGACTATACATAGCACTCTGAACGTTTTCAATTCTCTGGAATTTGGGAGTCAAATGTCCACCATACATAGTCGACTTTTAAATGCTCAAGAGTCGAATCTTTGTTCCTAGATTCAACTCTTTACTTAAAGGCATATATATAATGGCTTGACCAACTACTAGGGAAAAAAATATACTATGCAACTTTCAGCAACATAAGCCTTGTTGCTGATATAAATTTTCAGCAACAAGAGATATCTTGCTGAAACTGGGGCTCAATTACATAGGAAAATGGTTACCGGAAAATATCAACAACATGGGGTATATTGCTGAAATTTACTTTCAGCAACATACTCTTTGTTGCTGAAAATGGAGCAACTTTTTAGGGAAAAAATGTACTATGCAACTTTCAGCAACATAAACCTTGTTGCTAATATAAATTTTCAGCAACAAAGGATCCTATGTTGCTGATGTATTGTTGTTGAAAACTTGAATTTTAGTAGTGATTCGATGTGAAAAAATTTGTTACTTTTTGTGAAGTAATTGTGAAAGAAAAATTTGTTATCTTTTGTAATTTTCTTTTATGATGAATCCTATATATTATCACAAAATGTAATTGTGATGAATGATAAATTTAGTCACAAGTAAAATTTGATATTTGTGACAAAAATTAATTATTCATAACCAATATTTTACTAGTAACCAATAAATACCTTATTGTGACAATTTTGGCTATTATAAATTTAAGTAGTTTATTATAACAAATCTTTTGTGATTAAATATAATTTTTGTGTCGAAATTATATATTTTAATTTTAAAATTAATATTAGTAATTGATATTTTAAAATAGTTACAGATGCAAAGGACATTAGTAACGAATGAAGGATTAGTCACTATTTTCGGTTATAAAAAATCTATTTTCTTGTAGTGAGTTAATTATTGGTCTTTCTTGAAGTTTTGTAAACTTCTTCCGAGCATGTATATATGTTTCTCTATCTTGCTCACGCCTCCTTTAAGCTTCATAGAGCAGCAAGTCCTTTGCTTTGCTCATCTGATCCATGTGTTTTATTCTAAGTCAAACATGTATGAAGAAAAATAAATCTTGTTTGTCAATCTTGGGTAAACATTTTTCATCATTGTGGATTCAAATAAAATAATAATCCAATAGTTTTTTCTCATTGCTTTAGGGCTTTATGCTTAGAATATACTCTCTCCAAGGAACTGCATATCTGCTGTCACCTTAATGCACTTGTACAATGATCTTTTTCTTCTTTGTATCTATGATTTATTTGTTCTTTAAGGGATAGTTTTGAGAAGTTCAAAAATTAGAAATAAGGTGGTGGGTTTAGGGGAAAAAATCCTTTTAGTCTGACCGATCTACAAATAAAATTTTATTCTTGTTGATTTGATAGATTATACACTTCATGCATTACACATGTTAGGAAACTTTTGGCTATTTTGTTCTCTTTGGAGACTTGATTGATAGTTCCAGAGTTATTAACTACCAAGTCACATTTACACGATTTCCACGCCCGAGTCAGCGGCAATGCATTACACATGTTAGGAAACTTTTGGCTATTTTGTAATTTTTGGGTATTTTGTTATCTTTGGAGACTTGACTGATAGTTCCAGAGTTATTAACTACCAAGTCACATTTACACGATTTCCACGCCCGAGTCAGCGGCAATGCATTACACATGTTAGGAAACTTTTGACTATTTTGTTATCTTTGGAGACTTGACTGATAGTTCCAGAGTTATTAACTACCAAGTCACATTTACACGATTTCCACACCCGAGTCAGCGGCAATGGGCACACAAAATTTTAAATATTGTATTTTTAAACGGGTCCCAATTAAATTTGATTATATAAGTAGAATGGCCCCAAGGATGAAACGGAGAACCATAAGTTTAAGTTTCCACCGTTTTCCTTGATTTTGTTCTTATCTCTTTCAAGATGATGTTTTTTGGTAGAGCGTCCCCTCAACTTGTCTGTGCACTTGTAATTTTACTGCATGCGGGAAGTGCTGTTGGATTCAATTCAACATCCGGAGCTGCTGGGGTTAGGTGCATAGGGAGGGAAAGGCAAGCGCTTCTCATGTTTAAACAAAGTCTGGTTGATGAGCAAGGTGTGCTTTCCACATGGGGAAGTGAAGAACGGAGGAAGGATTGTTGCAGCTGGACAGGAGTTAAATGTAGCAACAGAACTGGGCACGTAATTTGGCTTGATCTTCATGATAAATCTTTAAGTGGTACGCTGAGTCCTTCTCTGTTTGAATTGCAGTATTTAACTTATTTAAACCTCTGTTTGAATGATATTGGTTCTATCTGCATTCCAGAGTCAATTAGTTCACTCAAGCGATTAAAATTTCTTGACCTTTCCGCTAATAGGTTAATTGGATCTCTTCCTAGCCTACTAGGAAACCTCACAAGTTTGCTACACCTTGATCTTGGGTTTAATGAATTTCATAGTGTTGAAAATCTAGAGTGGCTCTATCATCTTTCTTTTTTGAAATACCTTGATCTGAGTGGAATTGACCTTAGCAAGGTTAATAATTGGCTGCAGGTGGTTAATAAGCTTCCTCATCTAACTAACCTGTATCTCAGTTCTTGTAATCTTCTAGATGTCGTTCCTGAACCTCTCCCCATGAACAATAGTTCTATTTCTCTTGCTGTCCTTGAGTTATCTTATAATAACTTGACTGCTGCAATGTTCCAATGGCTTTTCAACTTTAGCAATAGCCTTGTCTATCTCGACCTATCTTACAATCAGTTACAAGGTTTGATTCCTGAAGCTTTTGGTAAGATGATTTTCCTAGAAGGACTATCTCTCTCTGATAATCAATTTGAAGGTGGGATTCAAAAATCCTTTGGCAACATGTGCAAATTAAGGCTTCTAGACCTGTCATATAACAATCTCGAAGGAATGCTTCCTGAGTTCTTTGGTGACTTATCCGGATGTCTAGAACTTACCTTGGAGTCTTTGTACATAATTAGTAACAGCTTCATGGGACCCTTGCCCGATGCAATTAGAAACTTTTCGTCATTGAAGGTGTTGTTTCTTTCAGACAATGCACTAAATGGGACTGTACCCAACTTGATCGGACTCTTGTCCGAGCTTGAGTGTTTATATCTCGGGGGCAATTCTTTTAATGGGGTGATCACTGAGGCACATTTCTCAAAGCTTTCCAAGTTAAAAGGGTTGGCTTTGTCTTCTAATTTTTTGCGCTTCAACATTAGCCCTGACTGGATTCCACCTTTCCAGTTGGATTTCATATTTCTCCGTTCTTGCAAGTTAGGTCCAAAATTTCCAAAATGGCTACAGACTCAAAGAAGCTTCTTGTTTCTTGATATCTCTAGGAACGAAATTTCAGATAGCATTCCCGATTGGTTTTGGAAACTATCTTCTGGAGCAGATCAGATCAATATTTCTAGCAACCTCATCTATGGAATTCTACCATATTTCTCAATGAAGTTTTCTGGTTATCCTGGGATAGATTTGAGTCATAATAAGTTGGAGGGTCCATTACCACTATTCCCTGCTAATATGTCGTCCTTATCACTCTTCAACAATGGATTTTCTGGGAATATTTCTTCTCTCTGTTCTGTAACTGGTAACACATTTCAGTTGCTTGATATCTCGTTCAATCAACTATCTGGAGAGCTTCCTGATTGCATGGCAAGTTGGTCAAATTTAATGATTCTAAATTTGGGTCACAATCATTTATTTGGGAAAATTCCAATCTTTATTGGATCTCTTAACATGCTTGAAACGTTGGTTTTGCGCAACAACAGCTTCTCTGGTGAAATACCTTGGTCTTTAGGAGATTGCAATCACTTGCAATTTGTGGACATGAGTCATAATAATTTCTCAGGACCACTTCCAGGCTGGATTGGGGAAAGATTGGTCAACCTAACCTACCTTCTCCTTAGATCCAATAATTTCTACGGAGATATCCCCTTACGGCTATGCCAATTGACAAAAATGATGGTGCTGGACTTCTCTAACAACACACTCTGTGGAAACATACCATGGTGCATTGATAATATGACTGCCTTGACCAAAAAGGAGAATTTGGTCGATGATCATTGGTATGTTGTTTATGTGAGAAATAATATGCAGTTTGCTACTAACTATGGTGATAAAGCATATATTGTGTGGAAAGGAACAGAATATGAATTTGCAAAAAATCTGAATTTTCTGAGGCTCATTGATCTTTCAAGCAACAAGTTAACTGGAGAAATTCCACAGCAGATATGTAGTCTCTTTGAACTAGTGCAATTGAATTTATCAAGAAATCAATTGACGGGAAGGATTCCAGCAGATATAGGACAAATGAAAAGCTTAGAATCACTTGATCTGTCACGAAACCAGCTTTCAGGCCAGCTTCCTTCAAGCATGTCCCAATTAAATTTTCTCAATACCTTGAATTTGTCAAATAACAACTTTTATGGGAGAATTCCGGTAGGCACCCAATTGCAGACCTTTTCTCCTTATGCATTTGCTGGTAATTCTGCACTATGTGGGCCTCCGCTAACGCCAACATGCTCGGAAGATGAGAAACCTTCGGCTGGTGGTGGTAGAGATAGCCAAGATGATGGGGACGAATTCTGGAAAGGGTTTAAACCCAGCATGGAACTCGGAATGGCTTTTGGGTTTTTGGGAGTTCTGGCTTTAAAGTTGGATCATCCATGGAAACATGTCTGCATCCTGCTATTCAACTACATGAAGATCCCCCTCAACAACTTGAAAGGCTACCTCTGTTTGATTGTTGCAGCATTTGGTTTGGTGGTAACGGTGAATGCTACCAGATTGCGAAGAAAGTTGAGGTTTTGAAACCCATCACTCTTTCTGTAGAGTGTGGAGAAGTGGGTATGTACTATGTTTGTTTATGCTATCTTGTTTTTTTTTTTTTTTTTTTTGTAAAAGTTTATGCTATCTTGTTGATTAAAAGCATTACTTCATTGAATAACAAATCCGCCTCTGAACGTTGTTTTCCAGGTTCAAAATGTTTGTTAAGGCTTCAGCCTTCAAGGACTCAACTTCTATGGTGATGTGAAATTCCAATGTGTCTTTTCAATCCTCATAGGATTCCGTATCTGGCTTCCTTTCTTTCTATCTATGTGCTCTGTTATTTTGTGGTATGAACTCTGAATGGATGGTTTGTGTCTTGTGTTGTATTAGCTTTCATCCCCTTGTGTTGGATGGTTTGTTCTGTTTTCCTCAAAGGGCAATATTTCAATAAAATCAGCGATGCAAATCATAGTTATTAAACTAATCCTTTTGTTTACATTTCAGTCTTAGCTATACAATACTATACCCATTTTCGCTTGTCATCATATTTGAATTTGAGGCTTCTACTAT